CTCTTTCCCAGAACTAGAATTGGCAACTTGCACTGGGTGGACAATGAAATGGGGCTGTTCATTAAAATAACTTTCATTTAACAGTCGGTCTACATTTAGTGAGATACAATGGATTATTTTTAACACAGTCTTTGTGCATCTTTTTAAAAAACTGCTTGGTACTGCTTTAAAAAACAGCCTTGAAAATAGAGCTGGGATCAGCTGGTTCAGGCACTTCTAAGAAGACAGATATCTGGGGGAATTAACATGTTTTTGAAAGTCAATTGTAATAAAAGGATAAAGATGAAGATGGAGGGAAAAAATATCAGACATACAAAAAATAATAGAGAAATCCCCCAGAGCATGAGCGAAAAAAAAAAAAAAAGAGTAAATTGCCTCAAGCTATTTCTTGAACTTTAGAGAAAATTCCACTGGTCTCATGTAGGTATAGTTTAAACCTGTTCAAAACCTAAACACCATGGTTAAGAAGGGTGCTCTCTAGCCTCATGTCTGTAATCAGTAAAAGCTTACCACCTACAAAATATGTCAGAAAAAAGGAAGAATTCACTTGTTCTTATCATCATATAGTCCTCCACCTCCACTCCGTGCTGGTCCTGATTCTGGTCCTTGCTGTTCGTTCAGGCTGCATAGTTTCCCTTTCACCATATTCATCTATTACAGCACTTTCTAAATAGGTCGTGCACTTTGTGAGCTTGGGATTGAATATACAATCCTCTATGTAGTCAGCAAACATAAAGCAGCTATGAGCAGGATTTTTTAAAAGATGCTTAAGCTAAAAAAAAATTAAATAATTCTAACCAACTTGCATGGCAGCCAAAAGCCTAAGAATCTTCTTACTTTCACGTGGAAAATCTCATCTTCCTGTCATCTTTTAAATTCCCTCCTTGGATTCATTTCCATTGGTTAGCTTTTTGCTAATAAATTATTTTTTATTTCTGAGCTGGTGCCTGACCTTTTTTTAAAAAAAACCCAGCAAACCAACATTCCCTGACCTGATCAGGAAGTTTATACAAGAAACAGTATCTCGCATGACTTTTAATTGATTTCAGCCTTTGTCCTTCCCGCTGTGACAGGGCTGCAGGCTTAGGCTCATCCATCCCCTGTCCTGTCTCCTTGCATGCCCCATCCCATAACCACTGGGTGCCAGGCTTCATGGGACTGCTCCTGAGGTGGATCTCCATAACCGAGTAGGCTCTGGCCCTGCCTTGAGCTGGGGCTGGCACTGATTATTTGCCACAGTTGGTTTCTGCTCAGGAACACAGGCTCTTCTAACTGTGAGAAGTGGTCCTACTGCAGCCTGGTCTCCTTGTTCTGCTGAACGGAAGAAGGCTCTCTCAGCTGAAGTGTTATTTCTCTGCATTACTGTCCCTGGATTTGGACCCTGAACAAAATAAGTTTAACAATTCTCAAATATTTGTGAAGTTGCTTTACTTCAGCTCTGCTTCTTGTTTATTTTTCCATAAAACTATGCCAACAAATATACACTTTAATTGTCCCAGTAACCAGGCCAACACACAACAGTAATTAATAATGACAACAAAGCTTTAATTGCAGAATCTCGTTTTACTCCTGCCCTTTATTTACTGTCACTACTAACTCAAGTATGAGTTAAGTTTAAGAGGGCTCACAGGATTTACCTTCATATACTGAAATCCTCAAAGTTAGGACCAAATCTTCTTAAGTTTCTCCCAAACCTAAGACATATCTATGGTGCCAATACTCAACTTAACTAATAAGTAATCTGCAAAGAGGCTTATGTGAATTCTGTAAAAGGCAGGATTTCCCAGTTCCAAAATCTACTTTGCTATGTGTAGATAAGTGTGCCTATAGATCAACGGAGGGAAAGATGTTACATGAAAAATAACATGAGCTTTAAATAGTGAGTTAACAAGATTGTCCTAGATAATTACTGTCAAGATTTACATTATCTGATTTGAATAAATATGCATTGTTTAATGCATCTGTCAGAACTAGTCCTTTCTTCTAGCTGAATGCAGCACAGTATTCTTTATTTATGCTTCCCAAAATATATTTCCTGGTTAACAGGTAACATTGCTAGTAAGTTTTGAAGGCAAACTAAATGCGTATTATCTGTGGAGTATCTAGCATAACCATGAAAAACAGCTGATAAAAGAGAAGTCTATAAACTTATCTATAAAATCATATAGAAGCCTATAAAATTCTTACACTCCACCTGTCTAATTTCCATTGCCCAGCTGTCTTGACTAACCTCAGTAATATATGAAGTTTGTATGTGCCTTGCAGACAAAGCTTTTTAAGACCGTGTCCTAAAATATTACTACAGAAATAGAGATGGTCACCTTCACTGGGTAATTTATCTTATTCTCTTAAAGGGAGATGGATCACCCTCTGGAGGCGACTACTGCTCTTCAGTGACCAGGCAGGGTACCTAGATCACAGATGAGATGTGTTTTTCATCATATTAACCCCAAAATTATAGCCTAGAATTCCAATTTTCTCATTACTTATTCAAGCAGAAGCTCCTTTGCTGTGATCTCTCCTTGCACAGGTAGATTTCCAACCTGTTTAGACATTGTGTAGTTTTGAGGACAGGTTTTACAGATTCTGCTTAAAATACTCACAGCACCCATAGTTTCTTCAGTATTATTCTCACTTACAAATCAGTCTCCTTTTTTAACAGACTTCAAAATGAAAAAGAAAGAAAATAAAATAATTTAAAGCTCCATGTTTTTTCATACAGGTGAAATGAGTATTTTGCTCAGCACTACTTTCATATTATATCTTTGTTCATCTTACAAAGTGTTACCACAGCAAGTCCTAACCATTTTTTTCAACACATGGAAGGAAGTAACTCTATAGAAACCTTTGTTTATCATCATTTCACACAATTCCTATTGTTACTGCAAATTCATCACATCAGTATACTGAACTAGGACATTAATGTCCCAAATAATTTTACTTATGTTAAATAAATTAATTTAGTGTTGAGATTAAGGTTTTTCATGTGTCACGTATTTGAGAACTCCCTCATTATATATTACTTTATGCATTATAGGACATTATTTTTCAAGTGGAGGCTGACTGATGTTATACCAACTGAGGAATGAGACCTATACCTGAGAATCAGGCATGGGGGTTTATTTGTGCAGAGATGGATGTGGATGAGTGGATGAAATATGAAGGTACTTGCTTGTGAGTATACTGCAGATGTACCTTCCTGAAAACAGTGGAAATAAAGCAGACCGCAGAGAAGAAAAAATATCAAGTGCTATTATGCTAAATAACATCTGCTCTTGCCTTCTCTATAGAAAGCAAATACTTCAACAGTGAAGTTAATTCACTGAGCATAGCCACTAGCTCAGCTGTTTGCTTTTCAGCAGCAAGCAAAGTTTCAGGAGGAGCCTGCTAGTGGTGGGAGAGTTCCTAAGGTTTCTAGACAGGGCAAGACAGCTTGTGCAAACACAGCCTCTCTAGCCTGGGAATGATTTGAGACTCCCTACCCTTTCTGCTCGGAGGAAATTACCACTGCCAGGCCACAACAATGTGGATAAACACCAGTGCCTAGAGTCTGCGTAACTCAGGTAAACACAGAGCTTCCGGACACGATGGAAACCACTGGGCCCTTCTTTCAAGTCATTCTTCTTTCACAGTGTCAGATGTGAGTGTTTAAACAGTCAGCATTTCCTCAGTGAAATACTTATTCTTTTGGCCAATTAGGCTGGGGTAATTTTTCTACATTTTCAAGAGTAATCTTTTTAATGTAGGCTTCTGGACACTTGTTTGAACAGTCTAGTGCAAAATGGCACCTGGTTCGGAAATACTTCTCAGGATATTTTACAGGACCAACCTACTTTTTACACATAGCTTTCTTAAGATCCAGTGGATGTTAAGTTAATGTTAGAAGCCCAAACTCCCAGTGACAAAGAGCCAAGCAGCAGTCAAAGGCAGAAGAAAGAAGAGTATGTCTACTCAATCCACATTTAAACAGAGAAGTGAGTTTGAGCCCTAGCAATGCACTCAGGATCTTGGTCCCTTAATCATTCAAACTGGGAACTTTGCCTTAATAAGTGCTGTTTCTCTGTCATCACATACATCTCAGTGAAGAGCAGGGGTATGAGTGGAGCAGGGGCAGTGTGGCCCTGGTGCTTACCTAGCAAGGTGCTAAGACTTGGTTGAGGCACCTACCTGGAGTTGGGAATTGTTACTAAGTCTACTGGTTTGGATTAAAGAAAAAAGTTAAACTTCTTTATGTCTGTTTCTCTCCTGTCCCTAAGCCCTGTAAACCACTTCTTTAGCATTCAGTCTTTCAGAAATGACCTTTGTGTTGGCCTCCTGCACAGGAGAGTGATTTTCGTTCCTAATGTATGGCAGTCACAAATATGGACTCTGGCACTATCAAGGAAAGCCTGGCAACAGTTTACATGAATACTAAATAAAGCTATTAAAGATGTAGTTGGGAGTTGATCCAAAAGTCACAGAATGTATAACAGGCAGTTAGATGGCCATTTGCAATTAAAATGCAATTGTCATCTCTACTTCATTCTAAGGTAAAGAGCCATGTATTTCCATTTTGGCCACGTCGCTCCATTTGGAAGTGCAAACTGTATTTCTGGGATGGTACAGAAGATTTGTAATATCTGGAATGGATTAAAGACCTGCCATTATAGCAAAGTACAAACTTCAACTGTGTCAGGAAACCTCTAATCGTAACACTAACCATCTATCCTTTATATACCCAAAAGTAACAAGAAGTACAGAGTTGACCAACAGATAAATGAGGTGTTTCTTAAAAAATTATGAACCCAACAGCACAGATGTAGAAAATGGAATGCATTTTTTTCTTTTTCTTAATACATCTTTTATGATTGCTGTGCAATTGCAGTTGGTGTAATTGGCTATCCCAGCATTACTTTTCACATTACCCATTACTGGAGTATTTGAGAGCCAGCTATCTGCTAGCTTCCTTCCATATCTGCTAAGGTTCTTTCTACAGTACCTGGCCATAGGAATAATTTCTCAGTTTGGCTAGTTGGCATACCTCATTTTTTTCCTTCAGCTTTGTGATCATAACAATGACAGGGCTGTCTTCTTGCCAAACCATCTGCCAGAAGTCATTCACGGTATTAATCATGGGTCCCTGAGTTGCAATGAAAGCCTTCTCTTTACCTCCATATCCCTGGTTTAGAAACAGACACAAAAGCGTTTACTTTAAATTCATGTGGTTGGCCAAAATTGCAGGTGAATCTTCTAAAAGAGCAGAAAAATGAATACGGAATTTTTAAAAAACAACAACAAAAAGTTATTTGAACTGAAAACAGTTATGACTAATAGTAGAGCAGATCAGAAATTTTTCAGTAGAACAGTTTTTCCTATGGAAACTACCGATTCGATGGACTGAAATGGTCCTGAGAATACATCAGTCCCTCTCAAATTTCCCTGCTTACTTGGCTTCTTCTAGCTTACTCTGTTCTCCAGGTTGTTGGGGCTTTCCATTATCCAGTGATACTTTAATCCATGATTTACATTGCTGTAGTGTTTACAAGATAATTTACAGTCAAAAAGCCACAGGAAAAAAAGGTAACTAGAAAACTGGTTTCTACAAAGATTCATGATAGGATAGACTCTTTTATGCATCTTTACTATGCAAGAAGTGCCTTTATGAGACCTTATAAGAGGGACAGCATATCAGTATAGGGAGTTCTGAAACATGTAAGTGTATAGGACGTCAAAGAAAGGTCAGACAAACAGAGGGGAAGCAGAGGAAAGGGAAAAGCAAGAAGAAATGGGAAAAACAAGAGATTGTCTTCTTATTTTTCGGGTGAGAAGTTGTGAGTTTGTGCAGTGACAGGATGGCCAACAGTATTGCAGATTAGGAGAGCCTGGCAATGTCTGAAAGGAATGAGTGAATGAAGAACGGCTGGAGGTGGTGTGGGAGCCTCTTGCTATGGGTCTTCCTTTTGGATACCTTTCTCACTGAGAGTTGTTACTCATTGCATGAACTGATGGGATACATCCTCAGCTGATATAAATAGTTCTCCTTCTACTCACCAGTCTGCCTGAACATACTTTGCCTGGCTGATGAAAGAGTTGCTTTCCAAAGAGAGCCAGTCTGCTTAGTTACATGAGGGTGCCTTTCGTACAAAACACTGAAAGTACAAGATGTAAAGCAGAGGAAGGGGCATGGGGGATGTGTATGTATATATTAATGTACTGTTATTTAAATAACCAACATCACTGTAGAGCTCTGGGGCAAAATTTCAGTTGCACTATAGAGTTTATTCCAGCTGAGGATCTGGTACATAACTCAGATCAAAACATCTAATTTTGTAGGTAGAGGACTACACTCCTAAAACATGACTGAAGTAGTTTCTTAGTAGTCTATTCAGCATACGCTGTGCCATTAGTTTAAAAGGCTCTGTCTGTGTGTGTCATCTAGGACTACAACACAGCTTACACTGAGAAATAATGCTTTCCAACACAGTTCATGGTGGTAAAGTCTTTGTATCATGTAACCATTCAATACAAGCAGTAAAATGTGAATGAGTGTGTGCTGGTGCACATGTGTGTATTTAACACATCTGTTTATGCTCCTTTTCACCAACTTGTTACAGTATTTATTTAATTACTTAACTGATGATTTCAGGACTATCAATTGATACAGTTATGCATGAAAAAAACCCAAACATTATCTCTGAATTTTTTTGTGGATAACATGACTGCAATGAGCAACCATACAGCTTATATTGCTACTGACTCTGATCTTCTCTTTACCAAAATACTGGTATCTCCGTCACTGTTAAAAGGTAACCCTCTTTTCCTTACTATAAGGCAGCAGGATAATATTAAATAGTAAATACTGAAGTCAACAAATAGTGGTGTATGTGTTTCTTAGTGTTTTTTATAAACTGTTTGACAAATTGTTTTCTTACTGCAACCATTTTAGTACATTCATGGCTAAGCTCATGAAACTATTTCTATCACACCAACATAGACAAAAAGATTATCAATGAAGATGGGTAGGAATAAAATGAGTGGTGCCTTGGCAAAATCAGTTATTCACATGGAAAATCAAATAATTGTCTCAAAAGCACATGAAGAGTGTTCATTTACTTACCCTAATGTAGTTAGCATTTATGTAGGTACTCAAGGAGTCAGATGGATTTTTTGGTTTCAAATACACTCTGCTTAGAGGATCTAAGAGCACAAGGAAGATGGAAATTGAAAAGAAAACCCATCATTAGAAGATTTCTATGGAGAATCAAAGACTTGTTGAAGAAAATAATCTACTGCTGTTCAGAGTTGTCAAGCACTAAAGAATTATGCATCAAATTCTTCCCTCTGCAAAGGATCATCACGTGTGACTAAGGTACCCCTATGCTGCACAATGCTGGGCTGTGTAGAAGTATCTCAGCAAGCTGTGGGCATTGAAGCAACCCTATCAGGTCCAGGTCTAGCAAGGTCTATTCTGCCTGTGTGGAGTGTCAAGCTGACCTCTAGATTGCCTCTGAAACCTGTGTCACATCATTGTCCGGTGTTAGATAAGTACACCAAGGCCTTTGGATTCAACTTTGATATCTTTGCCTGAAGCTGTACTGTTCCAATGACTACAGATGGATTTAAATGAAGAAAAGCTCCCTCTACCTGGGATAAAATCAGCTATGTGTTTTTATATCAATTTAAGTTCAGTGTAAGGGTTTGGACTAGGTAATCCATATTGTACCCTTTGGTCCCATGTTCTCATCTGACACAATTTGTGGCCATTCATGTGTACTAGACTGGAGACACAATACTAAAATATAGCAACATTTTCCTTAATGCTCTTCTTTCCTTCACTGTCTTGTATGATCTAGAATAGAGTGGGGGCCAGTTCTGTTGAATATAGAGCTGGGGATTACTAAATCCCTCCTGCAAAGGAAGTTTTTGCTTGCTCACTTGTGATGATGTGATCCCCCATGTATCACCCTTTTGGAATTAAAGCCAGTAAATTCTCAATTACACAGTGTAACAGAAAGGAGAAGGAGAAGGGGAGTGAGGTGCGTATGTTGTCTAGGGTCACACTTTGACTTTTTTCACACTTTTTCTGAAAAAAATCTTCTACTGTTAAGTAAATGATATGCAAATATTTCTGTACTGAAAAAAATAATCTTTTCTTCTGGTAGTTTGCTTAAATAATTAATCACAATCGGCAGTTTTTTTGACAGTGTACAGACACCTATTAGTTTGGAAATAGTCTCTGAATAGTCGCTTTGCTGAGTGCAATCTAGGCGATGTGTTCAAAGAAAGAGACATACGTAGATGCTGAACTGGGGAGTGGCAAGAAAACACTATTTATTATGTGGCCCTACTGTTTATACAAGAAATACATGATTAATGTACTGATGCCGTAGCAAAAACTGGTATTTTCAGAGTTGTTTTCGGATTTCTTTTGTATCTTTTCATCCTGTTCCTAAGAACAAGATAAAACTTTTGCAAATCAAAGGAAGAGGAGGGATGATCCCAAACAGACTTTATGTCCTTTTCCCACTGGAGGTCACAGGAGCATCTTGGACAGGAGTGGAGCCTTTGCAGGACTCAGGCTGGTGTTTTGAAAGTGTGTTTCTTAAAATGTGCACATCAATGCATGACTTCTAGTTCAAAGCCTGTGCATGGAAGTCTTGTCCTCTGTGTTAGCAGCACAACATGAACCCTAGTTAGCTTGTGTTAAAATCTCTTTGTACTAGCTTTCCCAACTTTTCCACTTAGAGCTTAACAATATGAGGACAGGAAATCTCTCATGCCTTTTCAGCACAGAGTGATTATTAGCCATTTCCACAAATGCCTCAGGCTACGTGGCCTTGAAAAAACACCAGCTTCCTCTAGTTCACACAATGCCTCTGATTCTGGTGTAGCTTGACCCCTACCTCAAAAAACCTCTTCCAAGCAGACTCAACATCCAGTTTAATTACCATGCCTTGAGATAAATCCCTCTGTTACTAAGGAGCAGCTAAATCAGTTTCACAATTTCTGAGACCTCCTTCCAACTCCAATCAACGAAACAAATCCTGCTTCCGAATGGGAATATTTTATAAATTAACAGTCTTGATCACTTATGAAATAGGTAAGAGTTGTAAACTGAAATGAGGAAAACCTGAGCCACTAAGCAATCATCAGACACAAATGGAAGCAATTAGCTTCCTCCTGAATGACAAATACCTTGGAGGTAATAATCTTTTCCTTAAGGCTGTCAAAGTCTGAGAGTCTGAAGCTACAAGCAGAAAGACACAGATGGTGGCTGCAAGGCTGAATTCATCAATGTTTGTAAAGCGTCTTGAAATGCAGCAGAGCTGTTAAGCACTTATCATTACTATTAAAAAAATGTCTCCAACAATTGTGACTGAGGCAAAATCGCTGCTGTTTTCCTCTATTTATCTAGGAAGCCTGGAACAGCTCTTCCATTAGAGTAGAAAAAGCTTCCGCTTAACTCCTCTAACAAATTAATATTGGCCTGAACTTACCAGGCTGGAGGAATAGGAGGGTGTTAAAGGGGCTGCATCTTTCCCCCATGAAACTGCCCGGTGCAGAGAACAAGCTGGGCTGTGCAGTGGCATTGCTGGACAGCCTCCCCCACTGCCATCAACACTGTTCACCCCATGAACACCACTTTGTCATTAAGACCCAGAGTTCTGACCCATTGCAAAGGCTGTATTTGTTGTACAGTGGGTATGATGTACTGTGGTTGTTTTTTCTTCTTACATTTTGACTGTTACTGTGTTCTGAATTCTTCAGGGCATGGGTATGTTTGCATTTGTAGCATTTCCAAGATAAGTTATTTGTTACTCCTAGTCCAGTCCTAGTTGCCTTACCATCAACAGGACAGAAACACTGAGCAGGGCTGTCCTGAAGGTACTTCTGCTTTGTGAGCAGCAAAGGAAGACAAAAATTTTGTGATGCAGATTGCTCTCACACTTTCAGCCCAAATGATCATTAAGTCTTTAAGATACTGAAACATTTTTAAAATTCACCCACCTTCATTTCTCCTGGGTTTGTTTGCTGTCTACAAATAGATTATGGATACTAGTATTATTTAGTAAACATTGTACACAGAATGTGTAAGAATCATACCAGACTGCACTCCCAGTCTCTGCCAGGTGGGTAATAGGCTATTAGACTTGTAAATAATACAACTGCCTCAAAACACCTCATGTACCAAACACCTGTAAAATATGCATCATTTTTTAATCTCATCTGAATAATTTCCTGGCACATCCAATATAATCCAGGATTTCTTAGTGGAAAACTTAACAGATATATCATGGTGAATGCTTCTGCATTTTAAAACATCCTTCAGCATTACAAAATAAAGTTTCATTCATGCAAAGAGACTCTTTCTTATCTACTAAAATAAGGTCTACCTAATATCCATTTACATTTTAACTATGCAGTCTAATATAGATCAATTATTATAAAAATGGCTATTTACAAATATTATAGATGTTATGATACTGACCACAACTAGGACACATTTTATCAACTCACATGGATAAAAAAAAAATGCTTTGATGAACCCATGTTGAATTCCATTAAGATTAAACAGTTTATCTCCTTCTGCTTTGTAAATATGTTTATTTTCTTTAGTCTTTGAAAGCCTGCTAGTGTTTCTATTGCCTTCATTAGGGAGCAAGACTGGAGCAAACATGACCATTTGTAGTCAGGACTGTATTGCAAGGGAGTTTGAAAATTCTCAATATGAAGAGAATGGTTTTCCAACATCCATCTATAAGCTTGCATAATAAAGTGCATTGTTCATACAATTTAGATTTAACTTTCCCCTTGCCTTTAGCTGGAGTGCCAGAGCCAGTTTTAGCACAAGCATTTCAAACAAGAATTTGTGGATTTGTGGTTCTGACCCACTAAGTGCTTTCTACCTTCATGTTACTGTGAATCTGCTGTGCTGTCACAGGTGTTTTCATGTGAGCCCTGAAGGTACTCTTCAGAAAGGGGTAAGGAATGACATCCAGGTACCTTGGATGTGTTGCATATATAAAGGTACCCACAGAATAGTGTCAAGTCACTTGCTCCTTTGTAGGCAAGACCACACCCATGCTCTGAAGCATCACCAGAATTCTGCTTCTAGTTTGAGGTGGAAAAGTGAGATAGGAAGGGGAAAAGATACAGGGCATTGGAACCAAGGTCCTGCTGTGGGGATGTGTAGCAGGGGCTGCAGGAGGCAAGCAGGCAAAGGTGCAGATATGGAGTAAGAGGATGAGGAGGGAGCAGTGGGGCTGGTGTTCTGCGACAAGGATGTGACAGTGGTGAGAGACTGGGAAATCTGCGGGATGGACTGGGAACCTGCTCAGGGGGACTGAGAAATGCTGCAGGTGGGTGGCAGAAGGAATGCAGCTGAGGATAGGGAGTGGGGTTTAACAGGACCAGTGGGTGGGGTCAGTCAGGAGGAGGGATGGAGAAACAGTGGTTTTAAGGAACTGTTTAGCCACTTGCTTCTGATCCCACACTGTTACCTCATTAGTTGTATTAGCATATTATTATCAAGTAAATAACACTTAGAAAACTTAAAGAGGCATCCTAGTGTTTGCATAAGAGCATAAGCAATGTTATACTGCTACAGAAACATCTTTCATAGAAATGTAACATTTCCTGCATTTTCCATATAGAACAATTTTCATTAGGCATTCATTTTATTTCACATGAGTGTGTCTGGCTGGGAGTATGTATTAACGTGAACCTGCCCTCATGCATCCTGTCACAAAACTATCTCTTAGAAAATGAGAACATCCTCCACAGTGCAGAGGGTGGAGCTGGCAAGACTGGGCATTTTTAGGAGATAATCTATCAGTTCAAATGTCACTTGTCACCACAGGTGCCCCGATTCAGGAGGCGCACCCAGCACTGGGAATGGAAAAGCTGATGTGGGCATACGAAGCAGCGGGTTGATATAATCTGAGCAGGAAACCAGGAAGGCTGTTCTATTTAATCACTCAAATCATATCCAAACCCTCTCGGACTGGGTGTGGGGTGTGCGAGTGTTTATTACGAGCATGTGCCTCAATCCTCAAAATATCTTCTTTGAAAAAGGCTAGTGCTAACGCACAACAGGCCTTTTCATTTCTGTCAAGGACAGTTACAAAGTGCCTGTCAATAAGGAGCTGTGGTGCACACCAGCAATCTGCTTGGACTGAAAATGTGCTGTGGAGTTAGCGGCATGCCCCGCCTAACTGGAAGTGAAAACACAAAGGCATGCTGGTTCTCAAAGCTCATCAGCATCAACCGCGGCCCAGCTGGCATGTCCTGATTCAAACCACATGCTGCAGTGAAACAGGACTCATTGCATCTGCAAAGCATTGCTGAAGGTGAACCTGATGGTGGCTGGGACAGCTTGGATGAAAGATGCTATGGGAAGGGAGAACTCCTTTCAAAATTCTGTCCGTCAGACAGAGGAAGACTTGGTGGTATCCTGGCTCTGCTGCAGCTGATGGCAAAAGTCCTGCTGTCGTCAAAAGGGTCAGGATTTCACCCTCTGTGTACATCCTGTTGACACTGGGCCAGACTCTAAGGGATGCTGGATTTTCCGATTACTTGATATATAACTTGCATTCAGTTACTTACTTTCTTTAATTCCCTTCAACATTCCTCAGTTGCACTCAGATGCATACAGCTATTGGTTGCAATAGATGAACTAACCTTGAAGACAACGGAAATTTTACTGCAGGCTGAAGGGAAGTGAGGTCTCCACACAAGTTTCTTTCCCAGCTATGTATCACATTTCTGAGATTAATCTAGCAGCTGAAGGCCATCAGTTTTCATTAATTTGACTGCAAGGCCTTTGTATGATGTGAATGTATTACAATGTGTTTGGGCTCAGTGAGAGAAATCTCGTCATTTACACTGTGTGAATTTGCATGGCTAACATATAACATAGGCATACAAGGACATTATAGAGATGATTAAAAAACAATTTTCTAGTTGATAGGATATGCTGTAATTTTAGAAGTATTCTTCATTCCAAACCTAAGCAAAGGGACGTGTTTACATTTTTCTTTGAGAGTATCCTCCAACATTTTGAATTACTGAACTTTTTCACTTTGGTGATGTCAAAATTCATAAAAGCTCCTACTGTTCATGTCTTTATTTAGTGCAGCGTTACAACTTCTGCAACCTATTTTGAAATTGCACACAGAACAAAATGATTAATAAAAGAGAAATGGAATATCTCATTATGACCCAACAAAGGTTATGAAAATAGTTGCATTTCAGAGAAATGTGTATTTTGAAGGAAAACTATTCCACTGAAAAGTTTTCAATCACCTCTAATTATAATAAAGCAATTGTTACTTGGTTAGAAATAATGAATTTGGGCCAATGAAAATACAGAAGCAGTATAGCAAAGCAGTAACATGTTCACAGCAATGATGAGGCAGCGCTGTGTGAGTGTTTTTCTTATTAATGTGAAGAGATTTCCGCAAAGTCCACTGACTAATGGAGAAGGGGGAAAAACAAACCAAACACCAGAGAAGATCTAAAAAGATGGAAGTCCACTACAAGAAAGGATAGGATGCACTTGATTTTTTTTTAGTCTGGGCCACTAAATATTGGACAGGATCCCAAGTAGCTTGACTCAACTAGAAGGGAATTCAGTGACTGCAAGATGATGTGGGCTGTGATGGAGGCAACAGTCTTGGTTCTCTCCTGTTCCAGATCAGGGGAGCTACTGTGAGGCATGGCAGACCTATTTGCCTGAGCTATCCTCCAGAGAAAACCAGCGTGCACCCAGGCTGCGTTTCAGTGCGTAGTTGGGATGCTGCCAAAGAATGCACCTACTGATGCATCCAGCGAGGTTTGCCAGTCGTACAGCACTGGACTTTTGTTATTTCTCTACATAGACTATAAATAAACTTATGAATAGGTACACAGCGATCAAAGACAAAGACAGCTAGATTTTCATAGCAAAATGTTCTCAAAGCAGGAGTAAATGTTACAGTAGGAAACCACGGGCTAACTCACTTACTTGGCAAAATTGTTTTATAGCGGTTTTTAGTTCCATGACTTGGGATGTCAATTTCTTTGGGATCCACAAAATTCATTGGTATTTCCTATAAAAAATAAATTAAATCAGATTGGTGTTTCCAAAGAAGGCATGCAGGAAATTATCACCAGAAGGCCATCTGCTGTTGCACAACTGTCTTTTGACATCAAAGTTATTAAGAAAAAAAATGGTTCCCACCTCAAGCCTGTCAACACCCTTCCTTTAATAAACACAGGGAGCTGCATGTTGAAGGGCTGACTTCCAAGGAACACTTCTGATAAATTATTAAAGGCAAAGTTTTTACAGGATGAGGAGAGAGGTTAAAATGCACAATAGTTCTAGAAAAGTGGAGTTGAAAAGTGCAGTACTGTAGCAGAAAAGTGCAACATTTTACATAATTGGGGGAGGAACTTTCAAAGTAATTAAATATTAATATATGGCAATTTTTTTTTTAAATTTCATGCAAAGCCCTTAACAATGTCAGTGAAAGACCTCACTTGATTTTTATAGAAACTACTAGAATGAAGTGCATAGTCTTTTGCATTCAGTGACTCAAAAGTGTAATAAAAATCTGAAGCTGTTTCTCTTGATTTGTCTTTTGATCTTTTAGTGACTGATTCGCATTGTCTTCTTTCAATACATAGATGTGCAAGTTACTAATGTGACAGTTTTCTTGAAGTTCCAAAGTATACAAATGATAAATTCCTGATCAACCTAAAATTACTGTTTTTCAAATTGTGTTCCAGCATAAAAAGTAAAACTCTAATTTTTCATTGAACAAAATGTTTCACTTGGTCTAAAGGGGGAAGAATAATTTTGATTTTGATGTCCTATTGTTAGTGTTCTTACAGTTGAATATAAACAACCCTTCGAAAATGGCAAGATGAAACATGTAGGGTTTTTTTTCCTGTCTGTGTGGGATATTTTACCAACCAAAACAATCTGGCAAAACCACATTTCAAAATGCTTCAGTTGACTCAAATATTTTTTTTTTACTGATTTATTTTGCCTACCATTATTTAAATTATCTTAGAGTAAGCTGGAATTTGATCTTCAGTAACTTAATACTTTACTTAAAAGCACAGTCATTACTAGAGACTTGAAAACTTCATTGCTAGCCTAGGACATTTGTCCAAAGAGAGAGCAGCATACTAAATAACTGCCTCTTACAGACACATGGGAACACGATGAGGCACAAAAGGTAAGTTACTACCCTATTCAGTACAAAATTCCTTTGACTTGCACCACTGAAAAATGTACTTTACTCTAAAAGAGGAATTTTCCTCCAGAAACAGGTGGTTTTAACTCCACAAGTGCAGGCCTGCCCAGGACTTTGGCACAGATGAGACATGGGCACTGTCCTTCAGCCCCAAGCTCTGGTCCTGCCCAGCGGACTGGCTGCTGCAGGGTTTTTTTTCAGAGGAACAGGGACGAGGTCCCTAACATCTTGCTAAGGATGCATCCAACAGCAGATCTTTACATGGGTTCACCAAGCTGGGGAAGCTACACTCTTACTTTTCAGGTTGAACAGAAGGCAAAGATAAGTAAAGTTTAGATTGGTGATAATTAATTGCTTCAATTATTTTCTGTTTTCCAACTTGGCTTCTGAACATCTAGCTACATGAAGCTGCAAATTCTGTGTTGGTGTTTATTTTTCTACCGTCTCTGCCTTATGCTCATGTGTTTAGTGGGTCTTTATTCTTCTTCTCTGCCTCACTCAGTTTCTTCCTTGATCTCTGTTACTCTTCCGCTGATTCCTCAAAAGAATGACTCACTGCTGCTCATTTCAGGTCAAACTGTTGCTGCTAAGGTACACTTTCCTTGCAGGTACTCCACCCAATCCTTTTTCAGCTCAAGGTATTGCCATCCATATGATGCCTGTGCTAAGTACAGGATCTTCTCACCTCTGAGACTCCATTCCTGCATAAACCTCAATGCCATTCCTTCAGGTAAAACCATCTCACCTCTATCTGGCTTCTGATGCCCCTTCATCCTCCATGGAACTAAAAAATGAGCTCCCGTACTATCCTCATATCCACCTCTGATTTTCAGCCCTTCCCAGGGTGACCTCTGTGAGACTCTTT